ACCATTGTGCCCAACATTTTGAGATAGTTTGTCCTTTCAAGGGCCTTTCATATACATTGTTAACTGAGAGTTACATCATCTCCATAGGGTTGATAGTGTGTGTCTCATTTCTTTCCTGGTCAAGGAACCTGGGATTTAGCACAGGAGCAGTTGCTTGAGAAGAGTCACATTAGAGTGGTGAGGGGCCTTTCTGGTCTGCTTACAGTGTAGACCAGAGGAGCAAGTGCTGTTCTCTGAACAAGGGTCATGCCGCATCAGAGTTAAAGTGAAGGTGCACTGCTTGAATGTTGGCACACTCAGAAAGTTATTCCTCAGTTGTAGTCCTCTGTAAAGTAGAGGTAGCAGGAAGCCACCACCACAGACCCGTGCAACCCAGGCACATCCACACTGAACTTCCCTATTCTAAGCTTTCCAGTGGTGAAACTCAAGGTGGAATGAAGGACCACAAGATGGGTGCCTCTTATTTACCAGCACTAGCACTGGGGACAGGTTATGTTCTCTGCCAGCCTCTTTCCATCCCCATGTATTGTATACTGATTAGTTGTTGGCTCACCTGTGGAGGTATCCTCAGGAGGCTTATATCAAGAGTTTGATATAAGACACTGGCCTGTCCCTGCAGTACTTTGCTGGGAAATCCCATTCAAGTTGGAGCCCAGGGCCTGGCTTCATTGGGCTGCTTTGGACTGGCCAGCTCAGTGGAAAAATTGAACTGCTGTGCTACAGTTGTCTGTAGCTGGTGGGATTAGGACAACTACAGAGCATAAGCCTTGATCCCTGACTTGAAAGGTAAAGCTCTACTGGGACTTCAGTGGGGAGCGCCCAGAGTGGCACCTAAATTTGCCCAACAGCATGTGATGAAAGCTCCTGTGAGGGTTTAACTACTCCAGTGAGTCTCTAAAGCACAGTGATGACAAAAAGACACTTCCTCCTGCTGTCTCTCTGCTCATTTCCTAAGTGCTGTGAGATTTTCCAGGTCAGCCAGGAATTCTCTAGTGAGTCAAATCAACAGTCATGCATCCCAAAGGATGGAGGATATGTGTGCAGAATGTGCCCGTGATTGAAGACTGAGAGAGAGCATCATAGAGTGCTTACATCAGGACAGCTACCACAGACTGTGGCTGTGGTCCCAGGACCACAGTCCTATAGCAGCCCCTTGTTGACCAGATACGCTATGAGATGGGGCTGTGTCCATTTATTCATGTCTTGCTTAGAATGAGACAGAGCAGGAAGGTTGGAAAATGTTCTTGCTAGACATTGGTGGCACACACCTTTAATCCCAGCACTCAGGAGGCAGATCTCCTGTGTGAGTTCGAGGCCAACTTGGTCTACAGAATGAGATCCAGGGCTACACAGAGAAATTCTGTCTCAAAAAACAAAAAAACAAAACAAGTAAATAAAAAGTTCTTAAAAGTTCTCCGAAAGGCCAACATCCTTTTTTCCTAGTTAGTATCAGTGAGCCCTATGCATGCCCATAAAAGCAGGAAATGGCTGATTAGCAAATGACCCAGGGTCTGGGTTTCAATCCCGGCTCCCATTTAGACGATAATTAGGGCTTTTGTGCCTCAGTTTCCCTATCTATCAGGTGAAAATGATACTAGAAGCTACCTCACAGAGAACAATTGAGTTTTGTGAGTGACAGTTTATCATTATAGTGTTTATAGGCCATCCAGTGAGACTGCAACCGTGAGATTGATGGTGTGTCTTCTGTGATGGCAACCACAACTTCATACAGTACACATAGAACTGTATGCCACAAGCACAGTGTGGAAACCCTGGGGATAACTGGAGAAAGGGGCCTTGGGAAAGGAGTTTCTGAAGTTGGGCCTGTGGTTAAAGCACAGTTAGGTAGATATGAGAGGTGAAGAGGGGGTGTTTTCATGATGCCTTCAGGAATGTGTGGGAGTGATCAGCAGAGCTTCAGTTTGTTTATTCATTCACCTAGTTTTTGATTTACTGCCTGTTCATCATACTGGACTATAGATTCACAATAGAACAAAGTACATCTGAGAAGCCACTGTGCACATGAATCCCTTCTGGTCTGTCACCAGAATCAACAGAAGCCAGCTGTTAAGCTGGCGGAGGGCACTAGAGTAGGACTACATGGCACAGAGCTGCCTGCTAGGTTCATATTTTGGCCCTGCCACTTGATCCTCATGAATCTTGGGCAAATGTATGCCTCAGATACAAGAAACTCTGATACTTTGTCAACTGTGGATGCATAGAGCTGCTCAGGGATGCTGCTGTGAGTGTAGAGGGGTCAGGCCCTAACGTTAGAGTGGAGCTCACAAACTCTTACTGAGGACCTGTTTTCCTACACAGCTGTCTGGAGTATGCATTCTCTCATCTTTCCTCCTTCATCCATCCTACGTTCCTTCCTTATAGTATCTTGTCCTGATCCCTCTTTGATCCCCAGAATAGCTCCTGTTCTCCCTGCAGTGTGCTGGCTCTGACCGTACCACTGTCCTCACACTTGGAATGACTTGTTCCTCAGTTACATTCTCACTGAATGGTTTGTAACCACCATAATGTTAAACTGTCATTCACATTCCCTTTCCATATAATACATAGTATTCACCGAATGAATCCATGAATAAACAGATTTATTAATGCAGTGTAAAAGCCATTTAAGAAACTGCTACCATTAAAGTCTCTTTCTAAATTTGATTGCATGGTCAGTGGTTTAGTATTTCAGGTCCTCTGACCACATGGTGGTTTTTACCAATCTGGGAAGGTAGCTGGGTGTCCAGGTGGAAGCTGCTTGTTTTTTAAAGCTGTGGCTCGTTCTCAGAGCTTCTCAGCAGGAGCATGGAAGCTGACAGTCTTGGTGGCAGATGTGCAGAGTCCTCACAGGCAGCAGGAACATTAAAGACTGTGTGTCACTATGCACGTTTCATTCACTTCAGCATTGTTATCTGGCTCAATCAGCTGTCCCAGCCATACCCTAGAATAAAGCACAAACCAGGCAGCCTTTAGGAAACAGGTTGAAAACCCAGAAATACGTCTAGAAGTTTGTAACATTTTTTTAAGATCCTTAAAGAAATCTTTGTGGCTCCAAAGGTAGCTCCCTCTGCCGAGAAATCTGTCTCCAGCGCCTTTGCTTCTGAGGTTGGTAGCTTTCAGAAAGACTGCAATGCAGCGGTTAGCAAAGCCCTGTTAATATGGAAGCCACCCGCTTCCCTTCACACTGCTGCCTGCTGCCTCTGAGCTGAAGGAGGAGATGGTGGGTCTAATATGCCTCAGGACCCTCGGTTCTGTGATTAGATGCAGGCGATTTTGTGAGTGCCTTGGCTAGTACAGGCTTGTCCTGCAGCAGCTCTTAGTTTCTGGTGCAGTGGGCTTCCCTCAGATGTGAAACTGAAGATGCCTTTGCAGTTTGTGCCTGATATTTTGGTTTTCATCTATGAGTTCAGATGGTGGGTTATACAAAGGTAAGGGACTTTAAAAAGCATGCATTTGTATATTTTAAGTATTTATGAATATCCAAAATCAAAGTAAATTATGATTTGAATAGCTCTCCACTGAATCTTAGAAATAAAACTTTGTATCTTGTTAATGACAGTTCTGACATTTGAAGAATTGTCTTATTTATTGTGAAGTAATATCCTCTAATGAATTACTCGGGGTGTTCTTTAAAAAGGGTTTGCTTTTCCTTTGACTTTCTAATAAACAAGCTTGAATCTTAGACATACGGATTATAACATATTTGTTTTTTTTAAACAATGAAAATTTCATTGATCTGGCATAAAATACTTCATTTTTCTGGCAGAGGATATATCATCAGCCATATGATGATAGATGATGAAATCCAGTTCCTTGAATTCTTATTTTTTCTTATATGAGCATTTTCTCAAGTGTGGAGCTCTGTGCTTATGCATAGGATGAGCTGGGTACTACTGTCAGCTGGTCCTCTTTGTTTATCTAAGAGGGAGGCTAAATCCAAACTCAGATTGGTTTTGCTATAAATTGGTGACCCAAAAATGCATTGAATGCTTCATGGTTGTTAATTTTATATGTCCAACACCAAGAAATATAATGTCAGGGTTACCATGGCAACCGCATGTGTTCTGAAAAGCCTGTGAATGGGCTCTGAACCTCCTGGCATTTTAACTGAGATTTTCCAGCTGAGAGCCTGCATACATGATCAGTGTAAATAAATTCAGCTCTCTATGGAAAGCACATCCTTTCTCTGTGCTTACCAGAGTTGGCTACCCTGCTCAGCTCTTTCTCTGGTGACATCTACCTTGTTTCTTGGTTCCTGGTCACAGACTATGGTTGAAAGACTGTTTTTAGCCTCAGGTTGGAGAGCCATCTCACCACAATCAGCCAGTGGGCCATGTAGAATGGGGCTGAAAATGCCTGGTAATCCCCATCCTGAACTGTACTTGTAACTTCATGTCCTGATGTGGTGTGGTGTCTTGGCAGAGCTTTCTGTCTATGTGAAGAACTTCTTTCCCGAAGTTTCCAGGTTCCAGAGCCTGACTTCCTCTTAGATTGGAAGTTGTGGTGGTTGGTTTGGGGAAAGGGGCCCAGTGATCAATCTTGTGAAAATTTTAAAGGAAGATCCATGGCTTCATTATCAAAGGATTGCTGGCAGCATTTATAGCTAGTTCATTCCTCAAGCTGAGCGTGGTGGCACCTTTAATCACAGCATTCAGGAGGCAGAGGCTGGCAGCTCTCTGTGAATTCGAGGCCAGCCTGGTCTATACAGTAAGTTCCAAGCCAGCCATAGCTACAAAGAACTCTCAGACAGCAAAAAGGCAGTCTTCCATATACATTTAAAGCACATTGCAGGCTTTTTGGAGACAGGGTCTTGCTTTAAAGCCCCAGTGTGCTTGAACTTATTACCTATACCTGTCTGGTCTAGAACTCAGAATTATATGGTGTAACTTTTAATTTGAAGATAGGTTATTCTTTGAGTTACTTATTAGTGGATGTATTGCTGTGACTTACCTATGGGCCTCATTTAGGAACTTTGTCTAATTCTATCCCTTTATTTTCAGATGAAGAAACTGAGGCCCAAAGAAGTATTCCACTTGATTGGGATCCCAGAATAGATCAGAACCAGGTCCACTATCAGAAACCTGCTCCTGGCTCCTGGCTGTCTGATCCCCTGAGGTTCATTTCTGACAGACAAGGTTTGCTATAAGTTAATATACTTTTTCTTTTGTTTTCCTTTTGTCATAAAATGGGTCTTTCATAATTTCAGGTCTCTAACTTAGAGCTTTTAATTAAAAACATTAAATTTCCACGTTTCTTTTTTTTTCTTGCATCTTTTATGAGCTTCTCTTTGGTGTGCAGATAATGATATGTTCATGGGAAGGACATGGCGGCTGCCCTGCGTACCACCTGCTGTGATGGGAGCTGTGAGCAGCCATGTACTCCAGCTAAATCCTGAATTGAGGATCTGGGGAGATGGCTCAGTTGGTACAGTGCTTACCATGCAGGCATGAGGACCTGAGTTTGAATCCCCATGCCCTAAGTGCCAAGGCTTGTGGGGAGAAGGGAGAGGTAGATACCAGGAGAGTCCCCAGAGCTTGCTGGTTAGTGAGTATACCAAATCAGCAAGCTCCAGGTTTAGTAAGAGACTTAGTGTTAAAATTTGGGGTAGAGAATGTCAGGTGGTGGTGGCACATGCCTTTGATCCCAGCACTTGGCAGAGGCAGGAAGATCTCTGAGTTCGAGGCCAGCCTGGTCCACAGAGTGAGTTCCAGGACAGCCAGGGCTACACAGAGGGACCCTGTCTTGAAAAATCAAAAAGGAAAAAAAATGAGGTGGAGAATGATAGGATAAGACACTTGATGTCAACCTCTTGCCGCCAAGACACAGACACACACTCTCACGATCTGACTTGACACCTGTATTAAAAAGTGGTGCAAGAGAGAAAGACGCTAAGCAATAGAGGTCACATGGAGGGGATTTTTATTAGGGAAAAGGGAAGGGGAGGCCGAGACCGGCCTCCAGACAGGAGCAGCAGAAGAGAAGAGAGGGAGAGACAGACAGACAGAGAAAGATGGGAACATAGTGAATGTGCACAGCAGGTGCTCTTAGTGGCTGCAGCTGAGGACATACCCTGTCAGAACCCAAGGGCAGGCCAGTACAGATGCCTGAGTACTAACAATGACACCACATGTAAGGCAGAATGACATAATGATAGTAGGTTCAATCAATCAATTTATTTATTTTTGGTTTTTCAAGACAGGGTTTCTCTATGTAACATCCTTAGCTATCCTGAAACTTCCTCTGTAGACCAGGCTGGCCTTGAACTCACAGAGATCCACTTGCTTCTGCCTCTTAAGTGCTGGGATTAAAGCTGTGCGCCACTACCACCAAGCTCAATTTATTACAAGTAGTAAGAGGTTTCCTTCTCAGAAGCTGAAATGCAAATTGATTTTCCAGTCTGGTTATGGTTAACCCTGGTTTTTAATTTTTTAGTGTTCAAAGAAAACTCAGGGGGCTGGAGAGATGGCTCAGCGGTTAAGAGCATTGCCTGCTCTTCCAAAGGTCCTGAGTTCAATTCCCAGCAACCACTTGGTGGCTCACAACCATCTTTAATGAGGTCTGGTGCCCTCTTCTGGCCTTCAGGCATACAAACAGAAAGAATATTGTCTATATAATAAATAAACAAATGAATAAATAAATTTTAAAAAGAGAAAACTCAGATTTTTGTTTAGGTCACTTAAAGTGTAGATTGTATTATTTTCTTTTCTGTCTCTCTCTTTCTCTTTGCTTTGCTTTTTCTTTCTTTCTTTTATTTAAAAAAAAAAAAACAATAAACAGGGTCTCTTCATGTAGCCCTATACATCCTAGAACTCTCTGTAGACCAGGCTGGTGTTAAACTCGCAGAGATGTCTCTGCTTCTCCATTGCGGGAATTAAAGGTGTACACCACCATACTGGGTTTCTTCTCCTTAAAAAACAAAAAAATTATTCTTTTATTTCTATTTTCATTTTCTTTGTATGAGCAGAGTTGTGAATGGTTGTGAGCTGCCACTGGGTACCAAATCCCAAGTCTCTGAAAGAGCAGTAGTGCTCTTCATCACTGAGTTGTCTCCCCACCCCTTTCTTCTTTCTCTGCTGCTGTACCTTTATTCACTGAGCCATCTTATTGGCCCAAAATGTATTTTTTAATAGCAGAATTCATATAGTGTAAACTCTTGTTATGCAGTGGTATACAGTGTTGGTGTGTTCACAGTTGTTCAGAATCCTATTTAATTTTAGAACACTTTCATCAACCTGAAGTCATAAACGCTTAATTTGTTCAACAGACAAATAGGAATGAAAGCCAGCATCATGGCACATCATGTTTAACCGTGGTCCCGTATGCCTTACCTATAGGCGCAAAGTCAAACTGAAGAGTGAAATAGTAACCTATGGCTGCAGTGGCTTTTCTGCTGCGCTTCAGAAGCACTTCTTAGGTGAATAAGAGTTTATATTGAGGCTCTGGTGAAAGGTGAGCTGTAAACTAGATTTTTGAGGAGGAGGACGTCGATTTTGATAGGACAGAGATCGCACTACAGACAGAAGGACATCTGTGGCAGATCTTCCTGTCAAATGAAAATAGTTTGTGTATAATGTACCTACATAATTTTCATTTGCCATGTGTGCATGTTCCTGTCTTGTCCTCCCTGTGCCCCTTTATTCCCACACATGCCTGTTTAAAAGATCACATCATAGGGAATAGTAAAGGCAAGGTTCAAAAAGGAAAGATCTGGTCTTAGATAGGATCAGTGGGATTAGCATCATTTGTCTGTAAAGGCCACTTAAATATTTGTGAGTCAGTGCTGTGTGTCTGCCTCTGCGAGACTGGGTCTAGTACTAGAGGTGTATTTTACACTAAGAATAAATTCAGTAGCAAAATCTTACTAAGATTCTGAGGAGGAAAATGCAGTAACTGAAGGATAGTTTCTTGACTTGTAAAAAAAAAAAAAATAGAGATGTGAGCCAAGCGTGGAGGCACACAGTTTTGATCCCAGTATTATTCAGGAGACAGAATCAGATAGCTCTCTATGAGTTTGAGGTGAGCTTGGTCTATATATGAGTTCCTGGCTACATAGTGACACCTTGTCTCAAGAAATAAGAGGCTAAGCCAATGTAATGCTGCATGCCTTTACTCCTGGCATTCATGAGACAGTTGCAGATAGATCTCTGAGTTTGAGATCAACCTGGGCTACATAGTTCCAGGGCAACCAGAGCTACATTGTGAGAGCTTGTCTCGAAAAAACAAACAAACAAAACCAAAGAGGAGAGGATGAAATTAAACTCAACAGGCAATTTAACTTTTCATGGTTAGATAAAACTACATATGTTACAGAATGATGTTTCATAAGCAGATTCATTGTTTAAACCTTTTGAAAGTGTCTAGACCCTCTGGTTGAGGAGCACCTCCTTTTTGTGTATTCCTCAACTGATGGCCTCTGTTCAGCTGGAGGAGAAAAGTCATAAGAATCATAGCTGACATTTCTCTAACAAAATAGGGGTTTATAAAAGAAAAGCAGAGGAAGTTGATTTTCTTGCCTCTAATCCTGCGTGTCACACTTTCTTTTGTTTGTAATGTATAGACTTAACAAATAGTGGACGTTTGTGTAGAAATGATCAGAGATCATGATCTGGTAGAATAAACTGAATGAGACCAAAGGAGACTTGTATATTCAAGTCCTGCTTGGCCTCTATGTGGAGCATTGTCTCTTCCTGCCCCCACAGCGTGCTTTGTACTGTCTTAGGAGGACCTGCTATCAGTTGAAGTAGGCCTGAGACTTTGAGTGGGGATGGGGCTTTAAAGTAGTGTTTACAGTTTACGTGGCCTGCCTTGGGGGCGAGGAATTGTGGTTTCTGTGAATCACTGTAGGGGAGTAAAGGCAAAGGACAAGAGGTCAGAGAAGATTTTGAGGCATTTTTTTGTAGCCCTTGTCTGTACCTTTCAGTTCAGAGGACTCAGCAGCCTAGAGAACCAGACTTTGGACTGCCCTTCTTTAGTTTGTGTGATGGTTTGAAGGAAAATGGCCCCCAGAGGGAATGGTAATATTAGGAGGTATGACCTTTTTGGAGGAAGTGTGTCATATGTGGGGGTGGGCTTTGAGGTTTCTTTTGCTCAATCGTAGCTCAATATGACAGTCAGTTGACTTCCTGTTGCCTGCAAAGTGTAGCACTCTCAGTTCCAGCACCACATCTGCCTGCAGGCCATCTTGCTCCCTATCCTGATGATAGTGGACTGAACCTCGGAAACTGTAAGTGAGCCATCCCAATTAAATGTTTTCTTTATAAGAGTTGCCATGATCATGATATCCCTTCACAGCAATTAAAAACCTTACTAAGACAGGCTGTACAATTTCTGTGAAACATCTACCATAGCATTAAAACCATGTCCCTACTGGAGAGATGGCTCAGTGGTTAAGAGCACTGACTGCTCTTCCAGAGGTCCTGAGTTCAATTCCCAGCAACTACGTCATGACTTACAACCATCTATAATGAGATTTGGTGCCCTCTTCTGGTTTGTGTATATGTAATAAATAAAGAAATCTTAAAACAAAACAAACAAACAAATAACAAAAAAGTCCCTATACTTAGCGGGCTGATTTAAATTATTAAAAAAATAATTGGGCTGGGTGATGGTGGTGAACACCTTTAATTCCAGCACTCGGGAGGCAGAGGCAGGCGGATCTCTGTGAGTTTGAGACCAGCCTGGTCTACAAGAGCTAGTTCCACGACAGGCTCCAAAGCAACACAGAGAAACCCTGTCTCGAAAAACCAAAAAAGCCCGTGAGATCTTGTTTGCCACACCATGAAAAGTTACCTCTGATACGCCAAACTGTAGAAGACACTCAAGCCTTGGTGATAGTCTTGATGGACACCTCCTGCCCAGCCTGTCTGGCCCTAGGCTATGTGCTGCCCATATGAGGATGCCCTTTCTCTCAGACCTAGTTATATGGTCTGCTGTCCAGAATACCAGAGATTTGCTTGACTTAGGACTTTAATGTGCGGTTCTTCAGCAGTGCTTCCCTCTTTCTGAAGAAAGTACTGCTACCGTTGTCATCATGTTCAGTGTGACCACTAGAGTTGCTGTCTCTGAACAAATTGTTTCCTACTTTCAAATTTGCTCATCAAAAATTCTATTGGTAGTATTAACTTAGAACGGGTTT